AGTAATATAAACTCCGATTTAGGAATATAGATATATGATATTATTTGTAATTTTTTGTTATAAATCAAAGCCTTTGTTATAAAGTTTTATTAACACATTGAAAATAAATTTTTTATATAGTTTTCATACGCAATTCAATCATTTAAACATACAGTACCTTTTTAAATTTTCTACTTACAGTTAATATAAATTATATAATTATTTATTTTAGGTAACACATAAATAATATATCTAAACCAAAATTTTAGAAAATTGTTGGATATATGTATATTTTTTAAAAAATTACACTTTTCAAATTTCTCTTACTTTTACTGTATTTAGTATATTAATTAATGTTGTATAAATGTCATGTACGTAATGTTAAATTAATTATAATTAACGTTTTTATATTACGAACTTAAATGGAGCAATAATTTATAAACATTTTATTGTTCGTTTTTTCTATGAAAATGTATTATGTGGTGTGTGGATTTAAATGTATTATGTGTATTATAAAAATCACAGAAATCGTGGTACCTAATTAACATTCAAATTCGTTTGAATATGTGTGTGGCATTGTTTAACTATTAGTGTTTTGGATATTGTGGATTCTAAGAATTACAAAAAACTTGGTATCTAATTTAAATTCAAATTGGTTTGAAAATTTGTATGACATATTTAAAATTGAAAAAAAAAAAAATGTTTGATTTGGCCAAACAAAAAAGATCATGCTTATCACATAACAATTAAAATAAATAGTTTTTTTGTTGACGATTTATTTCTCCATTTGCAAAAGTTATTTATCTATATATTCGATTTATACATTAATTATCCATAACAGTTACGGATATATACAAACTAAAAAAAATACACAATGCTGTAATTTCGGAAACGTGAGTATATTTAAGCTATTATTGTGTTTATTTTTGTTGTCCCTTTAAATTTTAAACACACAAAACGTATAATGGGATAGTGTTTAATTTTGAATACTAAATCCCTTCAATTAAGGGATGATTTGTTTCTATAAATTATCATAATAACAATATTAGACATATCAATTTAATTAAGTATTAAGTAATTAAAAAACTTTCATTAATGGAAACTAATTAATGTGTCCAAATTTTGACCAGAAAGTTGACCTACTATTTTTAAAAAATGGTAAATCTTTTTATATATATATAAATTCTCACTGATCTGACCATGAAAGGTTAAGACCATGTCCAAACAAAAGATGAATAATTTTTTTCTCTTTTATGACGACATGCATAGACCTAAATAAAGGTTGGTGGGATTACATCTATGGTTGGTTATCAAATAAATTAACTGTTAACACAATTTTCAAAAGCATATCTCTAAATGAAAAATATAATAACTGTTAACACAATTTTCAATAAATAAAGATTATTTTTAATTTAAATTAAAGCAACATAAAAAATAAATTTAAAATATTAATATATTGTAAAGATTTTTTGCATTTCTATACATATTTTATAATATTTTTCTTTATATATACATATTATATATATATATATATATATATATATTTATATTACTTTTCTTTACACATATATTTATAATGTTTTGTTTATATATATATATATATATATATATTGATCTTTACAAAAAAAAATATAAAAAAATGAGGGGGCCACGGCCCCCCCTGGACCTCATATGGCTCCGTCCCTGATACTGTCTTGGGCCAATTTTCTAGAATTCAAATATAAAAGGCTCGAGCCCAACAAACATTATTCTACATGAATAATGTTGAGCATTCAAAGGGGCAATTGATAAAAAGTCTGAATGGAACGTATAAAAATTAGCATAATTTCACTTTGATTTCTTGATGCAGCACATTAGTTTTGATTCATATTTTAGTAATGTGCAGAATATTAAAAAGAACTATTAAAAAGAAACATTCGTGAGGTCCGTGCACATTTTTTTAATGGCCATGAGTTCCATACGCATTTTATTTAACAATTAAAATTGTTGATTTTCTGGGTCAGCTAATGTATATACAGAAGAAATATATATCTATATATGAACGTCGGTTTTGTTATGAATCCAACTGTTGGCTCTATAATAGAGTCAACCTTCTATATGCAGAAAATATGGTAGTTTTACTTGATGTATATAAAAGGTTGACTCCACTATGAAATCAACTGTTGGCTCCATAGCAAAACCAATATCAACATTATTTGACAAATGTATGATAAAATAATATGTTGATCAATCTAACTATATAGTAGAAACTAAATTTCACGAAAATGGCTTGAGAAAAATAAAGAAAATATGAACGAAAAAATAATATCAAGGCACGTAATAATTACGCTCTTATTAATACGATAGAATTTGTCTAATATAATATTCACGCCGGTGTAGCAAATGTTAGGGGTGAGATTTTATATCCGAGAACCGAAGAATCGAATCGGACTGAATCGAAAATAACCGATTCGGTCTGGTTATTCAAAAAAAAAAATCTTTTTTTTCAGTTCCGGTTAATTTTTGCAAAAACCGGTTCCGGTTCCCGGTTCCGTTCCAAATGTTTGTATATTAACCGAGGAACCTGACTATATATATGAAATATGCATGTTTTATATATGTATATATATGAATCGAAACCGGTTTTTGATATGTAATACTATGTTCCTCATTTTTGCATTTCCATTCTCGTTTTTTTATGATACTTTTAGTTCATGAGTTGCATTTTTTGATCGGTTCTTAAGTCAAAACCGATTATTATAGGTTATTTTTCATTATTCGGTTACCCGAAGAACTGGAAAAACCGAACCACTATAACTCGATTCAGTTCTTTTTCGATTCCTGCAGATATTTAGGTGTTAACCAAACCAGTTTTTTTATTTCGGTTCCGATTCCAGTTCTTGAAAAATATGTTAAGTACAACCTGTCTCAGGCCTAGCAAATGTTTTCCTAAGATGAATGCATTTTGTTTACAAAATTTTGAATAAAAGGAAAACATCATCAAACCCATAAGACAATAATTAAAAAATAAAAGGAGATTTTTGAATACTCAAAATCAAACCACTAAATTCCCACCTGCTCAAACAAGAGCACAAGAGTTTAGAGTGCAGGGTAAAAAACATTATTCAAGTCTGCCAAGAGAGCTCTTCTCAAAGTTCTAACAACTAAAGCACAAGAACAAGCCACTCTTATAAATTGTTCACATTCCAAACAACACAAACCAAATTGATTACAACCAAATCCAGAACACTCAGTACAGATCACTCTCCTTGTGCGTGTGGATCACACAATCCGAAGTCGGGTACGAAACACACGTCAGCACATATCCTGAAGCCATCTGGCCATCATCGAGAAAAGAGCCATCTGATTGGTCGACCGCACCTGAAGCCAGTTTCCCAGCGCACGTGGAGCATGCACCCGCCCTGCACGAATAAGGCAATTCAACTCCCGCATTCTCGGCTGAGTCGAGAATGTACGCGTCGTCTGGGGCATCAAACTCGGACTCAACCCCATCGGGCCCCACCAACTTCACCTTGTACGTGGCCATGGCGGAAACCCGGAAGTTAGGCCTTACTTTCAGCCCAAAGGTTCTTGTGGTGCTCTTTGGGGAGCCCAATGAGGGTTGTTGGGTTTTGACAAACGAGGTTGCGATCCGTCTTTGTGGAGGGATTTGGGTCATGCAAACGGTAGAAAGCCCTGCAGTTGCCATTTTTCTCTACTAGAAAAGAAAAAAAAAAATGGTTATCTACAAAATAAACAACAACAAAAATATGCAAAAGCATTGAATATAAGGAGTGGTATTGAACAATTTTTTATACACACAGAGAAAGAGAAGGAAGAATTTTGCAAAGGGATGATCGGGAAAAAGTCAACACACTTAATCAACCATAGCAAGAAAAACAAGCAATTGAATCTTGAAATTACAAATAGCCCTTAATAATGACTAAGTAGAGGAATAATAACATGTGTAGGTGATTCAATAAGATAGCTGTGGTCCTTCACAACCAAACAGAAACCCATGGGTATTTATTTAACTTTTACAAGTTGAAAAAACTGAAAGGCTCAAATTTCGGTTCCTGAAGCTCATTCGTGCTTCATGGTGGAAGCTAGAACGGGTGGAAAGAGTGAGATTTCATAGTACAATTTGTGCAAGTACCATGATTTGATCCTAATTTTATCAAACAATAAAATATTTAAGCCCGTTGCTGAAAGATAACCACCATGATAGAAGGAAGTTGGTCAACCATCTCCATAGCAACAAAGCATATACATGTTTGGAGCATTATGAGAAGAACAAGCAAATTCCTTCCCTGCTCTTCACTCGAAGCTCCAAAAGTCACATAAAACTAACATAACTCTTCAAAGATCACATAAATGTTGGGGAAAAAAAAAGTAGTTGACTTGTAGCTACAATGATAGAACTGTTGGGAGATGCTTCCGTCGAGATTTGTAACTGTTAGATTATCATGTAACCGTCGGGATAGTTGATCTAGCGGTTACAAAACCCGACAGAATGATTCCGTAACGGGAGCGTAGCATTTCCGAGAACTCTTAGTTAAAGCCCAATCATGTCTTTGAATGCAGATCTAAAGATTTCAAATAATTATCTACATATATAACATCTTGTGGATTGTAATGAAATATTCATAGAGCATACAGTCAAAAGGTTTTGAAAAACAAAAACATCAGCATCATGCAAAACACAAGAAATCCGTATACATAAACAGCCAAGATTTGAACTTTCAACATCCTTTTCCTTCCATAATAATAATAATAACAACACACTTAGACAATTTCGAGCGAAAAGCAAGTAAGCGCGGCCCAGATGCAAACACAAAAACATCTCCCCTTTAACACAAACAGGTCCGATAAACCCCAAACATGAATCATACAAATATTCAGCACTTGATCAAGAAACAAAAGCAATATAAATTCAAGACGAAACAAAAAAAATAATCAGAAAATAAATGAAGGGTCACAGAATCTCAAGATCTGGGTCTGCTACAAAAATGTTGAAATTCAATCCAAAATCCCTTACAAATTAAGAAAAAAATACAGCCAAATCTGGAGGAAGAGAAAAATTGAAGTACCTTAATTTAGAAGACGATGAGAAAAACGATAAGAGAGATGGGTTTTAGCTCTAGAAGCTGCCGGCTTTATGCGCAGACGGAAATATTTATGCGCGAGAGGGAGAGAGATATAGAGAGGAAATACCCTAAATATGAATACCACCTTTATTATATTTTATTATATTATAAGGAAATGTTTCGATTATGTTACGATACCATTTCATCGACTATTTTAACCGTAAGATCATTTATCCTATCTAATTATACATTGATCCCACAGTTAAAACACTCGACTAGAACGGTCCGAACGAAACCGTAACATTTTCCTGTATTATTATTTTATTATATAAATGAAAGGGAAAGACTGCGAACCTGCTAGACCACGCCCCTTGGTTTGGTTTTCTTACTCCTATTTTTTTTTTTTTTTTTT